AGAGTGAATTCTGGGCAAGGGTTTTCAACGGATGACAAAGATTTCTTGTATCATCTTGGGTATTTTGTGATCTGCGTGCTGGGAACCTTTGTTCATCCCTTTTTCTACTCGATACTGGTGAGTATTTAAAAAAAAAAATTCGTTTTTTTTATGCGCATCTCGGTGCAGCATTTGGAAAAGTGGTGCTAGCGTCGTATTTCCTCATTTAGAAATGCTCGTTGTAATGAAGCTTTTCATGGGACCATTCGATTATGCCTGTCAGCCTAGGTAGTTACTGTATTTCAATAGTGTTCTAAAAGTTTCTCTGTTGGGAACGACTCAGAATTATTGGTGTTCTTTAAATATCTGATGATGAGTCAGCAGTTGTGAATCAAAGTTGCTGACGAATATGTTGCAGTAATTTTGAAGCTGAAAAAGCTATAGCAAAAATTTGTCATGATTTTTTATCACATAATTGTGGTACCCAATGGATGCTTTCGTGGCAATGTTCATCCAGTCGCAAATGAAACGTCGTATAACTCAGTTCGCAATAAAAAATACCAAATATCTTGGAAACAAGCATTTAGATGAACAAAGTGAGGAACTGCATCTTACAGATCTAGAATATTTCTCTGCACAAAAAGTTTATTTTGTTGTATAAAAATTTTGTTGAGCATTGTAATTATTTCTATTGGTGCACAGTTCATACCAGTGGATTGTTGGTTCTCGAATTTTCATCATCATTGGTGATCATTCGTTCAACTTGAGAATCATTTTTCAACGTGAATTCGTCTGAGAATTCAAGTATTTTCCTTTTGATTTTTGACCTCTAGTAGCTTTTGAATTTCGGTTATCGGGAAGAGTCCCTGAAAAAATTCAGTTGATAATCGACTAAATCCTTTGGGCTAAAATTATATTTCTTCTTTAAAGAATGTTACTGAATATATTTTCCTATGGTTTTTATTCGTAGCTCTTGGATGTTGTTCATCGAGAAGAAACTCTTTTAAACGTCATCAAGTCCGTCACAAGAAACGGCAGGTCGATCGTTCTCACCGCAGTCCTGGCCCTGATCCTCGTTTACCTCTTCTCCATTATCGGATACCTGTGGTTCAAGGACGACTTCTTGGTCACTGTGGAACCCGAGGACACGGAATCTGCTGCATTGGCTATCGATCCTGGGGGATTCTGCTCTGCGGGTTCTCCCTGCTCAAACGATACCGTTAACGTTTGGGTGAAACCCAAAGAAAATGTTACGATTGAGAGCACGACGCGAGCAGTGGCCACTTCGGAAGATGTGAAGGAGCGAGCGTGTGATTCTTTGATCATGTGCATTGTGACCACTTTGAATCAAGGGCTTAGGAATGGAGGAGGCATAGGGGATGTTTTAAGATCACCCAGCGCGAAAGTGAGTTTGGAGGAAACCTTGCGTTCTTTTTTTTTTCTATATAAATCGGAAATGGCATTGGAACTGTTGAGTTCAGATCATCTCATTTTGTGGAGCAGTGGTTCTCGTATTTTCTTCCCGAACATTGATGGTCATTTTTCTCTCTTTTTTCTGTCCAGTTTTGATCTGTCCGAGTATTTGAGTGCAGTCATGTACTGTGTTTTAATCGTGGTTTTCTGTTCTCGCAGCTTTTGAATTCATTTTATCGGAAAGAATTGCCTTAAAACGTCCTGTGCTAAATCCTTAAGAATTGAAGTTTTTTTATTGTTGAATAAAAGAGAAAAAGAGTTAATCGCTCAATAGCTGGTTTATCATTCCAGAAGAAACTCCTTACTTTTGTTTTTAGTGCAGTATTTCTCCTGCAGCGGGTAAATGTAATATTTCAGTCAATGTTGATGAATTGTGACTTGAAATATTTATTTTAGCGATTTCCTCGTGTAATTCGAAGAAATTTTTGAGACCCTGCGTATGATTGAAGCTATTGATATTCAGCTATGAGGGAATATTACCCGAAGCCTCTTTAGCCTACATTCTCAATTGTCTGTGATAATCCGTGCTTATTTTTTTTAAGGAACGTTTGTTCTTCGCCCGAGTATTCTACGACCTCCTGTTCTTCTTCGTCGTCATCATTATCGTGCTGAACCTGATTTTCGGTGTCATCATTGACACCTTTGCGGATCTGAGGTCTGAGAAGCAGCAAAAAGAAGAGATTTTGAAAAATACTTGCTTCGTGTGTGGACTGGAACGTTCGGCCTTTGACAACCGCGTTACGAGTTTCGAAGATCACATTAGAAAAGAGCACAACATGTGGCATTACCTGTACTTTATTGTCTTGGTTCGAGTGAAGGATTCCACCGAGTTCACGGGACCAGAGAGTTACGTTCATGCCATGGTCAAAGTAAGTCAAATTCTCGTAAAGTTGTGCTTGGAAGTGTGTGTGTCATTCGTAAATTTTAGAGGGGACCTTAATTTTAGTTCATTTTGTCTCCGGATCTTGTCTAGTTGATTATTTTATTAATTTCCCAAAAGTTACTACTGTAGTTGCGAACAAATCAGAATTATTGATGTTCTCCGAATATCTGATGAAACATCTGCAGTTGTAAATCGAAAATGCTGATGAATAGGATGCGAATGTTCCCGAGCGATGTTGCAACATTACAAACAATTTTGCAATTGTTACGTATTATTTGAATTGCTAAAACGGCGATTGCTTTCGCGTTCCTGGTTCAATCCAAAGAAAGTTCGAAAAACCCTGATCTAGGATACTTATAAAGTTCCTGCGCACTTAAAATGAAAGGATTTCGTGTGTATTGTCCAGAACCAAATGAAATTTTGATGAAAGAATAGATTTTTGTGTAATTGTGAATTTCGTGCGACATCTTCCCACACCTTGTCAATTTGTGATGAGCAGTAAATTTTTGGGCACGCCATAAAAAGGGGTTTTCTTTTCTACGCTTGGCGGACTGACGCGTAATTCTGTTGATATTTTTTTTTCTAATTTCTAGGAGAAAAATTTGGATTGGTTCCCACGTTTGCGATCCATGAGCTTGATAACGTCTAATGAAACCTTCGAATCCCTGGGAACTGCAGTAGGAAGCGACTTGAGCGAGGGATTCGGAATGATTTCTGGCTCTGGTTCATCAGTCGGCGGTTTGTCGACCCAACTGAGCAGTGGGTCCATTGTNCGCTCAATAGCTGGTTTATCATTCCAGAAGAAACTCCTTACTTTTGTTTTTAGTGCAGTATTTCTCCTGCAGCGGGTAAATGTAATATTTCAGTCAATGTTGATGAATTGTGACTTGAAATATTTATTTTAGCGATTTCCTCGTGTAATTCGAAGAAATTTTTGAGACCCTGCGTATGATTGAAGCTATTGATATTCAGCTATGAGGGAATATTACCCGAAGCCTCTTTAGCCTACATTCTCAATTGTCTGTGATAATCCGTGCTTATTTTTTTTAAGGAACGTTTGTTCTTCGCCCGAGTATTCTACGACCTCCTGTTCTTCTTCGTCGTCATCATTATCGTGCTGAACCTGATTTTCGGTGTCATCATTGACACCTTTGCGGATCTGAGGTCTGAGAAGCAGCAAAAAGAAGAGATCTTGAAAAATACTTGCTTCGTGTGTGGACTGGAACGTTCGGCCTTTGACAACCGCGTTACGAGTTTCGAAGATCACATTAGAAAAGAGCACAACATGTGGCATTACCTGTACTTTATTGTCTTGGTTCGAGTGAAGGATTCCACCGAGTTCACGGGACCAGAGAGTTACGTTCATGCCATGGTCAAAGTAAGTCAAATTCTCGTAAAGTTGTGCTTGGAAGTGTGTGTGTCATTCGTAAATTTTAGAGGGGACCTTAATTTTAGTTCATTTTGTCTCCGGATCTTGTCTAGTTGATTATTTTATTAATTTCCCAAAAGTTACTACTGTAGTTGCGAACAAATCAGAATTATTGATGTTCTCCGAATATCTGATGAAACATCTGCAGTTGTAAATCGAAAATGCTGATGAATAGGATGCGAATGTTCCCGAGCGATGTTGCAACATTACAAACAATTTTGCAATTGTTACGTATTATTTGAATTGCTAAAACGGCGATTGCTTTCGCGTTCCTGGTTCAATCCAAAGAAAGTTCGAAAAACCCTGATCTAGGATACTTATAAAGTTCCTGCGCACTTAAAATGAAAGGATTTCGTGTGTATTGTCCAGAACCAAATGAAATTTTGATGAAAGAATAGATTTTTGTGTAATTGTGAATTTCGTGCGACATCTTCCCACACCTTGTCAATTTGTGATGAGCAGTAAATTTTTGGGCACGCCATAAAAAGGGGTTTTCTTTTCTACGCTTGGCGGACTGACGCGTAATTCTGTTGATGTTTTTTTTTCTAATTTCTAGGAGAAAAATTTGGATTGGTTCCCACGTTTGCGATCCATGAGCTTGATAACGTCTAATGAAACCTTCGAATCCCTGGGAACTGCAGTAGGAAGCGACTTGAGCGAGGGATTCGGAATGATTTCTGGCTCTGGTTCATCAGTCGGCGGTTTGTCGACCCAACTGAGCAGTGGGTCCATTGTCGGGGCACAGGTCGGCACTGTGAACAGTTCCCACGTTACCGGCATGGATATTGTGAAGAACCTGAGTGCGCAACTGGAATCTACGCAGAAACTGGTGCTTGGATTATCCCGACAGCTTCAAGAATTGAAGGACCAGGTTTGTTTTTCTTTCTAATCCAGTCTGAAGAGTATTTTAAACCAGTACCGTCATCCAAGGCTCCTTGTATAGCGTTACCATTGAGTCGATTGCACTGGGAATGAAGAAAAGTTTGCTGTAAGCATTATTCTTTTATATTCACATTCTTCTGGAGCAGCAGAAATATTGCCCAACAATCAGAAATATCATTAAACAAGCGTTTAAATCTGTCAATTAATTACAGTATACAGTACTTTCCTTCAAAATGTTGCCAACAGCTTATGTCACAATCTATGCTACGTGTTGATATTTCTTGATGGTATGGCATTATTGTAATATGAGCAGGGATCAATATCTGGCTAAAATTTGTGACAGCATGTGTCCATTGTGCAAAAAATGGATTACACTATATCGGGCGCCCATCCCAATAGAATGCCAGCTTAGTCCGGCATAGACATCAATACACAGTGTTATTGAAATATTGCACTGTATTATATAATATTTGAGTTATCTTGGTTATAAACTTATAGTACAGGTAGATCGTTGCATATTCAGTAATACAATCTTACAATTATAACCTTCCTTGTGTCAGCTACTTCTAATCACATCCCTTTCATTTTTTAGCATTGAGGTATTCCAGCTCACGTGCAGTCATGTTACAGTACATTGAACCATGAACGCAGAATAATAAAAATGCTTGCCGTTTTTCCATATGGAGGAATATTTGATCGAACAAGTTGCCTGAGGATATTGCAAACTGCAATCTAAATTGTTAATGTCTTTGACATTAAAAATGACTTTTTAATGTTATCGGAGCGCAATGGAAAGATATGTTATCTATCGGTTCTCCAGCCCAGGACGTTGCAGGCGTAATTCGAGGATTATTTCAGCTACACACTCCAATGAGGAGTTCCTGCAATGCGGCTGCGAAAATCTGTCGCAGCTTCTTCGACTTCTCATGCTCCCGCAACTATCATGGCCTCGACCATGGATGTAAATTGTGGATGAAGTTATAAAATATCCATATAAGAAACGCGTCCGCTTGGTGGGGTTGACTGTGGAACATGGGACGTGTGCTACAGACCTGGGTGTCTATATGTAAATATAACAGAAAATTATGGATGTACGTTGAAATGGACTCTCCAAAGATATGCAGTGCAAGGATGGAGAAACACATACGATTTAGTATAATTCCTGTAGGGCAGGCAGTTTATGGCGTGGAAAATCCTGGCGCAATTCGTTTTACGCTTGAGGTGATGGAGTTTCCTGCAATTCTGAATTCCATTCGAGTTTTTTAGCTTTCGAAGTGGTTTTCTTGCGGTGCCCTCGCGGGATGTTCTCTGCATTGCATGCAGTGATGCATAGTCCTTCACAAACAGGGTCCATGTCCGCGCGGACAATTCTTCTTTCCGGATAGGTAATGATGTTGTGTCGGAAACGTGTGTGCGTTCGAAAGAGGAAAAAAACGAATAAATAAAGGAGGCGGCTTCGCCGAGCTGGCTAATGAGTTTAATTATCAACTGTGGGAAATACGTTGTGGAAAATGTGTGCTAGATGCTTAATATCTGGTTTGTTTTTCTATACGACCGTACATTACATGCGTGTAGCTTTTTTTTCCCGAACAGAAGTTAGCGTCGCGAAACGCATTGCTTTTGCCGGTTCGTTGTTCGGGCAAAGCCCGTCATGCAGTAGGTACTGTACACATATTTTTAAATTCTGTGTGGTGAAATGGAAAAAGATAGTTGTATTCTCGTGTCGCCGCTTCAGGGTATCGATGTCAAATGACTTTTACGGGACACCGTTAATTTTTTATTCTCATCTCGTGAACTGCGAACTGTGAAGTTCATACATGCTATTTCTCGTCGTTCTCGGAACTTTCAGATTTTTACGATTTTTGTCGATGAATGCCGGCAATGGCTTCAAATGCAAACTTGTATCAAATCAGTGATTATGTGTATTTTGAAAGCTCGCCATCGGCGCCTTTCGCTATCCGGCGCATCGAAGAACTGAACAAATCGGCTAACGGAAGTGTCGAAGCGAAGGTCTTATGCTTCTTCCGGCGTCGAGATATACCTCCGCCATTGCTGATCCTCGCTGATAAGCATGATACAGGTATTGTTGCAAAACCTGTTGATGAAAATGGCGAAGAGGAAAAGGCATCTGTAGTGAGTGAAGATGATGATGGCTTGACGGTGGAACAGCGTCATCATGTCAAGCATCGCGAACTTTTCTTGTCACGTCAAGTAAGATACACAGTAATTTGTTTGGAGGTTCAAGTAAATTATTGTGATATGTTTTTCGTTCAGGTGGAAACGCTTCCAGCGAGTCAAATCCGGGGGAAATGCTACGTCACGTTACTGAATGAAACTGAATCTTATGCTTCGTACCTGAACAAAGAGGACACATTTTTCTACTCTCTGGTGTACGATCCTCAGCAGAAGACATTGTTAGCTGATAGAGGAGAAATTCGCGTTGGACTGAAATATCAGGCAGATCCTGTCACTCTCAGTGTTAAACCTAACGGAGTTTCAGAAAAAAATTCTGAAAATTTAGAAGAATTGTTGTGGGACCCGGAGAATCATCTGTGCAAAGAAGAAATCGAGGAGTTTTTGGTTTTAGCGAAGGTATTTATCTTAGCATATTTATGCGACGAGCCAATCAAGCATGCTCGTGTTTTTGCAGTCTGTAGGGACATTCGCTAGAGCTGTGGATTCTAGCGGAACCGTAAAAACTGGGACCCTTCAAGCAGGTGCCGCAGCTGCCTGCAGAGACGCCACGTCATTGTACGCAATGAAGTTACTACACAAGTGTAATTATGACTGGGCGAAAAGTGTTCGAGCGCTCGTTCCTTCTGGAAGGTAAGATTTTTCATGCATTATCTTCCCCAAGTCCTGTACTCTACCCGCGCGAAAATGTGACACACTTCTCCTGGTTTGAATAACAATTTACACGAGTTTCTGAACACAAATGATAAGTGTGGGATTATGGGGTTTGTCCTCAAGTGTTCACGAATTCAAATTATCGCAATTCATTGATCTTATTTATATTACTGGTACAAGTTCGGAAATC